GAATCAAGTGAACGAGCGCAAATAAACACGAATGAGCAATTTATTATTTCGACGGGAGTGAACGATGCACGATGCGTCGCGTCGCAAGTATTGAACCCTTCATCCTCATTGAAGTCGCTTATTTGTATTTGTCCGTGCTCGCGCTTCCTCGGTCTAAATCCGATTTTATACATATACAGACAGAAAGATACGATCGATGTTGGTTCAAGAATCAAAAGCTTTTGCGGAACAATTGGAAATATCGTCCATAAATAGATTTTCTGTTGCATGTGAAAAGAGTGTATAACACTATTATACAACATCATTATAGGCACAATCGTCGTCGCTTATATATGTATATATATATATACATACATATATATCTTTTAGCGTCAATGTTCCATAGTTATTTCGATAATTACAGTAATGCGCGCGATTCATGGTTTTTGGTGGAAACAAATGGAAAAAAATACGAAAAGAGATGTGCGTACGAAGAGAGATTGCAAAGCGCGAATGAGGAAGAAGTTTATCTATCGTATATCATTATCTTAACGATAAATTGCTTTACAAAGTCATGTCATTGTACTTTCAATTACGCACATATAACTGTGCAATGTTTCTAAACAATAATATATATATATATATATAGTTATTTGTGTAAAAATTGACAATTGGTGTCACTTTTATCAAGTATTTACAAGCGCTCTAGTAATTATTATTAGTTGATTGTAACTTGTAACTGGTGATTGTAAATCTTTAATAGTTGGTTCTCTATAAATCTATCGTTAACAAATTTACAAGCAGAAAAAAAAAGATGAGAATCTCGATAGATTCTTTGAGAAAGAAACTTTTCGTGAGAATGCTTCAAAGATACATGTATACCATATACGTATAATATTTCTTTTTAATTTTACTGTATTTCTGATATAGTAAAGTAATTGAAATTTCTCGCGCTTGTATGCATCATATATGCAGATGCAGAATATTGAAGATACATGTACATACATAGAAAAATACACACATATTCCTTTCGTCGATTTTATCTCTGTTTCTTTCTGTTTCGTGTTATGACATATTAAATTAATAAAATAAAGAATCATATATTAAATAATAATTATATATTGTTTAGACATATCTTTAATATTAATTCTCTGACAACGCGTAAGAAATTTTAATAAAGATAGATATACCGCGAGAGTTGTAGCTCTGTATTATACTTCTACCTTTTTAAACTTGATAAGTTATAGATTCGCGCTCGTAGATACAACCCACGCGTAAAACGTGCCTTACCATCATAAATGACATAAATCTGCTAAAATTTTGTAAGAGTATATTTCACAGCCTGTATGTATACAGGAAAAATTGAATTCGAATTTGATTCGATTTATACTGCATTTTCTCGATGTGTGCGTATATATTAGTGGATTAACGATCGACACGCCTATCTGTATAATTGCCGCTTTTTGTTTAGCACCATTCGTTCACTATTCGCTGACTACGAAACTCGTTAATAGGGTTTGCTAACATTGCAGCTTAGTTGTGAATCTACAAAATTATTAATGAAATTACGCTATATATGCGCTGTGTGTACATTCTTTAAAATGTAAGTACAAAAATACAATAAGAAAACAAAATTCATGCTTGCATTCATTATTAAACTTTTTGCAAAATTTAACTTACTTTCTAAGATCATTTCTGTATGTGTGTGTGTGTGTAAATACATCGCAGTATATTGAAATAAATTAACGTGCCTAAATTTGACGTTAATTTTTGTTTGCGTTTTGATTGCATTTTGTACTCCGACGATGTTTATTATAGCGAGATGTATAGCAAGATGTAGAAATCTATGAGAGAGTATGTAATTCATCATAGTAATTTAATTAATGTTTCTTTTATATATCTTGCTACTGTTCAATGCCCAAAAAAAAACTTTTTCTCTTATTTTGTACAAAGTGTAATCGAGGAATTGCTGAAATTTAAAAAATCTACGTCTGTTCGTAATATTCGTAAAAAATTTTTTGCGTCTAATTATCCAAGTTTAATCACATTTCGCAATTGTATCAATTTAAAAATTATGAATACGCTAAATGGAAAGAATTTCGATATTATTTCCAGCATTATTTCCAAATAATGTGTTATTAATAATCAATATATCTTCATACAAGATATTTAAAATATAAGAATTTATAGCATATTTAATCCTCAGTACACAAAGGGTTAGCGTAACTCCACCCGATTTTCATAGTTCAGGCATTCGAACACGCTTTGAGTAATGGTGCTGAAACTGAAGGGAAAAAAAAACTTAAGTTTCACCTCTACAATTCCCTCGGCGATCTTCTAATGCGCTACATAATTGTCAGGGAATGGAAAGTTACTTTTTAAAAGTAACAAGTTACAGTTACTCGTTACCGAGTAGGAAAAG